CCCGTTGTGATCATTTGGGGGTGAGGGAGTATAAGGTGAGATACAGAGGGGAAGACTCACTGCTTACTCCTACCCTCTCCAGCAGTGAATACTCATTTATACTACCTCTGTACCCGTCCACCCCGCACTCTGTGCTTAGATTTTGTGCTTAGCCCCTTCATTCCACTTATCACTAAGGAGATTGGGAAGGTTTTAGGAGCTCTCTGCCAGGAAAGGAGGGGAGTCATAGAGACCAAATGTATATTCCTTCTTACGTCTCAAGATGTGATGGATGGAAATGCTAGTACACAAGTACCTGTTCAGAAATTCACCAAAACCAGTGACTTGATCATTGTATTTATTGATAGTAGTGCTATATCTGAGTGTTGTATACTATATGGGAATGTGCTGTTATTCTCTATACTTCTTCATATGTTTGAAATATTTTTTTATGTGAAGAAGTATAGTATTAGCCACCACGGATGAGGATTGGAGTGAAATAAAAGACCCACAGCTTGGGGGTTAACCAGTGGTGTGCTGTTTAAGGCTTAACAACCGTCTGGAAGAGAGAGAGGTGGCTGCATATACCCTGAGGATGTGGAGGCTCGGCTCGGGAGACTAGAAAAGTTGTCCAAATTCTTACAAATAGAGGCAAAGGCAAGATTCAGACCCAGGTCCAAAGCCTGTTCTCTTTCCTAGACTTTCAGACCCTGTGAGAATCCTATGAGAATCCTGTGAGAATCAACCAGGCAATGTGTCTCTCTCACACTGATGTTTCTCTCTGTGTCTTTTCCCTTCCCTTCCACTCTGAAAAATCAATGGGAAAATATCCTCGGGTAAGGATTAACAACAACAACAACAAAAATACCAGGTTTTATCAGATAAGCTGCCTGCCTTTACTAGTACTGCCCCCAACCAGTCTTCTTTCCAGCTGCAGGCTCATCTGTATCCCTTTAGTACAACCTGGTGGATATTCTGTTGGACTTTGTATTTGCTGAAAGTAGAGCACTTTTACACTTCCTCCCCCAAATCTCCTCCTGCTCCTGTGTTCTTCACCTCAGATTTGCGTCCTCATCTCCGGGGGATTCAGTGCAGTGACTCTCCTGCAGAGGTTCTCTTCCTGGTGATTTCAACCCAGCCTGTGGCCGGGCCACAACCAGCCCAGCCGCATCAGGAGTCTGGGAGGGGGACACAGGCATCAGTGTTGCTGTTTTCTGAACTCTTTCCTGATTAGTAACTTTCAGAAAAGTGCAGTGTTCCAGTCTGAAGTATGTATCGCATGGAGTGATTACAAACTGAGTGTCCTGTATGGAAGGACCTACTTCAAGGACCTGAATATGGTCAGCATCCCAGACACCCTGTTTCAGAACTTGACTAAAATAGAATCCTAGATATGGTTCTTTTGCTCAACTCTATGAGTGTTGTTTTGCTTTGTTCTGTGCTGTGGATATGGCCCGCATGTGCCGGCACAGTGAGCAGAACGCTATCTGGCCCTTCAGCTAAAGAATAAATGAGCTCGTTGAGAGCAGATCCTCTCAGAATCTCCCTAGCACAGTTCCTTTCACAGAGTAGGCACTTCATAAATACTTGTTTTGTTCATTTTGTCACAGGAGAAAAAAAAAAATACACATTTTAAAGCAGGTTTTTTGTTGTTGTTTGTTTGTTTTTGTGAAAACCGATGCAAATCAGGCAGCGCAAATTCAGATTTTTTTTTTTTTTCTATTTGGGGGATACCTAATTATTTCCATTGTAATTTTTTTGTAATTGATTCTTACTAATTTGATTTTTTGTATCCCTTTAAGACTCAATTTAGCTTGAGAATCCTCTTTTGTTGGGAGAAATGAGTGCCAATTTCCTGATTATGGGAGATTGTGTGATCAGTTTTTTATCATTTTCACATCACAGAGATGAATTGTTTCCAAAGAGTCTGAATTAATAAGAGGGCATGGTATGTGGGATGCCGTCTTACTGCGCTTTAAGAAATGGGTTCAGGAGAAATGAAAAGACCCAGTAGCCTTAGAATCCTTAAAATCAATTCTGTGCAAGGGCCACAGGCAGGCCAGATTGCCATCAGCATGACCCGTGGTCCCAAATCACCCTGTCAGATCGCAGGGTTAGTGTGTAATGAGATTCTATCAGCAACCTCTAGCTCAGCTCCGTTTCAGGGAACAGTGGGTGGCCATTGTGCTTTTACTCAGGGAAGTCTTTTTGCAAGGCTTTGGGAAAATGATGTATGCAGAAGAATTTTATTTTTAAAATGTAAACTTTTAAATGAAACTGTTTAGCACACAATTAATAAGTAAGTCCCCGCAGTGCACTTGGCCCTGTGTTGGAATTCAGTAGGATGCAGTGTTGCACCTGGTAGCAGGAAACACATGCAGAAAAGAGATAGAAAGCATCCTGTGAGATGTGATCCATGCACAGGGCACAGGGCAGGCATGGAATGAGAGAGGGGTCACTCAGACTGAAGGGCAGCAGAGGGAAAGGGTGATTGGGAAAGGCTTTGTGAAGGAGGCTGCCGGGCGCTGTGTGGGGCAGGTAGACAGAGAGCGGGAGGGCCCTTCCAAGGGCAGGGACATTTCCAGTAACTTCAGGAAACAGACTGGTTCTTAGTGTGGGCCCTTCTATCCGTAGCTGGGCGTTCAGCAGATGCTTACCATCTGGAAGCACGCGTTCATTAGTTCTGGGAAATTTCCTTTAACTTAAAAAAAAAAATTCCCTTCTATTTCTGTGTCCTTCCTTTTCAAAACTTCCATTATTCAGCCTCTAGACCTGGGCTGACCATGATTTTATGCTTTCTGATTTTTTTTTTTCATTTCTTTCTTTTTTCTAAATTTTTTTTTTTTTGTATTTTTGCTTTAACTTTATGGTCTACGCGTTCATTGATGGTTAAGTGTCACGTTTTCTTTAAATTCCTATTTAAACGTAAATTATATTTTAAATTCTAAGTGTTGTTCACTGTCTCTTTTTTATTTTATGAAAGTATGTTAGACACCTGAGAATGTTAATAATAATTATGTTCCTCGTCCTGAATGGTTTGTTTCCTATTAATTTCCTTGTTTGTTTTGACTCTCTGGTGTTAGGTTTCTACAACATCTGGTGACGGCAGCTGCCATTTTCCAGTAGGTGTAGGACCGCAAAGCCGAGGGCAGGGCGGAGAGAGGGGCGGATGATGGAGTTTATTCACTGTAATGGCTTCATTTTAGGGTGATCATACTGGGATTGTTGTATTTAGGTTTCCTCTCTTGAGTTAGTTGAATTCCCCAGAAAAGAGTCTTTTTGTCCCATGCCTGGAGGGCATAAACCTGGCCGCCAGTTCCCTGGGGGATAAATGGAGGAAGAAGGCTGATAGTCTCACAGTTCACTATGTCGATTGGCCCCAATGCCCTGATTCTGTGTGGAATCCCTCCCTTAGCAGAGGCAGGTGTCTTCAATCATAAAAAATATTAGGTTGCTATACTTTTTATGCAACCAAAGAAACAAATTTTCTAGTTCCCATTCTCTGTGAGCTTCAAAAGGCTCTCCGTCACATGCGCCTAAGGATGTGACCTGAGTCTCATGTGGGAACCACTGCCCTGAGAGTATACCAGTTTCCCGGATATCTATTCATTCACTTAGCATTTTCTTCAGCACATGTGTGTGTGAAACATCCATGTGCACAGTGTTATGCCCATCCTCTTGGGGAGATACATAGGGCAGCATACCAGGATCCTGCTCTCCCGGACCAGGGGAGGGTTGCTCTCAGGAAGCTGTTTCTGTGGTACACGCAGTGGGGGCCCCTTGAACTAGGCTCATGAAGGTGGGAAAGACAAGACGGGGGACAGTCAGAGAGTTTGTGATAATGTGTGAGGAGGAGTAAGCTGTGGGGGAGGAGGGCATAGAGTGAAAGGTCCTTTTAGAAGAGAAGAGGAGGGTCCCTGAAGGCACACCCAACTTGGTGAAGCAATCCAGGCTGAGACCATGTTATACGGATTATACACTGTTCAATTTATATATTTTTTTCAGGCCTACTCTCTGCTTTTTTTTTTTTTTTTAAAGTGCTGCTTTTATAAATCATTTCAAAATGATGGCATTAACACTTAAAATGGTTAATTCTGAAGTCTCGTGGTTTTTATTTTCCAGAACCCAGAAATTTTGCTAACCCAGGATTCGTAATACATATTTAATGAGCTTGTGAATGAATTTACAAGCAGTCTCTTCAAAAGTGTGGGTTACTAGGTGTTTTAGATGATTTGCAGAAGTAGGTAAAAATGATAGAATATGGTTTTCTTCCCCCTTCTCATTAGACTATAGAATATATTCAAGATCTTCTTAAGTAATTAGGAGAATACTGCTCTCCGTAATTGAACAACATTCAAAATGATGAAAATGAAAATCAGCCACAGTATATTAAAGCCACTATAATTACTTTTGGTAATGACTTACCAGAAAAAAACTCTTAACAGAACCAAGATGTAAGCACAGATCAACAACCAGCTTTTGTTAAAGGAATGAATCTGTAGAGTGGAAAATGGCCAACACAGGATTTGAAGCGAGTAGCCACCATATGTGGTTTCCTTACTCTTTCTTTGCTTTCTACTGGTCTCCTTTCCTTCTCTCCATTTGTTACTTCTATTGTCTGCTGTTTTTTCCTCATAAGATTTTGAGAGAGTTTAGTGATCTAAAAAATATATGCCTATTCTACACCCCTCTCTCCCTCTCTCCTTCCCTCCCTCTCTCCCTCCCTCTCTTTCCCACCCCTGAGGATTGGACTCCATGTGTTATCAATGAAGACCCTGAAACAAAGAAGGTGAAGGTGCAGTTTTTAGTAGCTGAGCTGGTTTACAGACTGGTTAAGGCCTGATTCTTCATTCAGCCCTGTTTCTGCCTTATTGTATGGCCTACTTTGAAAGGGTGGGAAGGCCTGGGGTGGAGTGGGAACTGGGTGGAGGGGGGCAATGAGGAAGGGTATATCTGTAATATTCTCAACAAAAAATATTTTTAAAAAAATTTTTAAAAGCCTGTTTTCTCTTTGCCTTCAGCTTCCAGAGCTAAACTCAGCATGATCAACACAATGTCCAAAATCCGCGGGCAGGAGAAGGGGCCAGGCTACCCTCAGGCAGAAGCACTGCTGGCGGAGGCCATGCTCAAGTTCGGGAGGGAGCTGGGAGATGACTGCAACTTCGGTAATGAGTGCTTGTTTCCATTCCTGCATGTGTCCATGGGGATTGTAGTGCCAGTAAGAAACTTCCTAGGAAATGAATCACACCATTTTCATTTCCACTCTCAGTTTTAGGTCCTTACACATGGGACAAAAAAATTGTTTTCAGGGTTGTTTCATCATTTTTAGTGTGATTTGTTGTAGGAGTTTTATTTTATTTTCTTGTTCTCTGATGAGATGCCAATCTTTACAGTACTGACTGCTATCTCCTGATGCCTGGACATTTACTCTGGGGTTTTTCTGGTAGTGACTGGAAATCGAGGCAGATCAGACGGTCACAGTGAGCATGATTAACACAAAGCCCCATGAGCTTTCTCTTAGATCTCGGCTCTTTTGTATGTGGTGCCAACTCCTCTTTCTTTCTTTCTTTCTTTCTTTCTTTCTTTCTTTCTTTCTTTCTTTCTTTCTTTCTTTCTTTCTTTTTAATATATTTTTCTCAATTTCAAAGAGGAAGGGAAAGGGTGAGAGAGAAATATTTATGATGAGAGAGAATCATTGATTGGCTGCCACCTTCACACCACCTACTGGGGATTGAGCCCACAACTCAGGCATGTGCCCTTGACTGGAATCAAACCCAGGACCCTCCAGCCCACACACCACACGCTGTCCATTGAGCCAAACCTGCTAGGGCATATGTGGTACCTACTTCTCCTACCTCGGATGAGATGGCTTATTCCTTTATCCTCTGGCCCTCAGCTACCATACCAAACACCTCCCATTTTCATTCCCTTGTGATGTGAGATCTTACTTAGCAAAGGATGGCCTTTGTAGCTGTATGCTGCTTATTGCTCCTGAAAAAATGGATTGGCCTTAACCAGGAAAGCTGGTAATTAAAAGAGAGGGCAGAGAGCTTCCCAAATTGTTTCAAAATTTTATAAGAGTCTAGAGGCCCATTGCACGATATTCATGCAAGAATAGGCCTTCCTTCCCCTGCCTTCACTCCCAGCCACCCTGAGCCGGCAAGTCCTCGCTTCTGTCTGGAGCACCATTCCAGTAGCTCCCCCGTCCTCCCCCTTCTCCTCATAGCAGGCTCCATGCCTGCATATGCAAATTAACCCCATCTTTGTTGGATTTATTTGCATACTCACTCTGATTGGCTATGGGTATAGCAGAGTGATGGTTAATTTGCATGTTTCTCTTTTATTATGTAAGATAGCACCCTCTTAAGGGGCATGGAGTCTGTTGCCCATATGAACTGTCAAAGATAGAAAAAACATTGTTCTCTGGAGGGTGTTACATATTGTCCTTCATCTCGGTTGTCTTAGGATCCATGGGGTTTCTTCTATCTATGCAAATGCATTCTACTTCTGTTCTTTAACAAATGAGAGCTTTGTTCTCCCCTTTTAGGCCCTGCACTCGGTGAGGTGGGGGAGGCCATGCGGGACCTCTCAGAAGTGAAAGACTCTTTGGACATGGAGGTGAAGCAGAACTTCATTGACCCCCTTCAGAATCTTCACGACAAAGACCTGAGGGAAATTCAGGTACCTGTCACTGGTCCTCTGGGAAGTTGGCAGTTTAGATTGTATAGGTGAGAGACCCCTACTGTTTAGAAAACATGTTTTAAACTTACTGTGTGCTTTGTCAGCACTGGGCACATGCAGTGCAAAGCAGTCCAGCAAAATAAATGAGAGAAACCAGAAATGAAATAATTTTTGTCCCACTACTATGCCTCTGCCACTCATGGACATGACATATGACTTCTCCACATTTAATTTTCAAGATTTATTACGCTTTTTTCCTCCAGAAAAATAATATCTTTTCCCTAATGACACACAATTTTAGTAATTCTCTGGTTTTCTGGGCTGATTGTATACTCTAAAATGCTAGCTGCACTAGTTGTTAGCTTAGTTATTCTGCCACTCTATAAACACATGTTTTCATATTTTCATAGCAGTTGTTAGGATTGAGAAAGAGTACACAACTGTTCTCTTGGTAAAATATGTAGAAAGTTGAGCTATTCCAAATCAAGTTTAACAAGCTTTACCTTTGACTAGATGTATAATGTTTGCTCATTCGTTCCTTCAACAAATATTTGTTGAACGGAACGAATGAGCAAACATTATACATCTAGTCAATTATACATCTATACAACAAATATTTGTTGAACCTGTCTGAAATTTAATTTCCCTTATTGTGACATGAGCTGGAATACCTTGAAGTCTCCTAGATCTCATTCTGGCCTAGCTTTCCTTCAGCCCTATCACTGGCTCAAGGTTGCACCATTAGTAAGGGGTAGAATCGCTTTCAACATAAAATGTGAACTGACTCCAGAACACTGCCCTACAGCTGACACAAGTTCAAATGTTTTACGAGAATTTTCCTTCCAAATGAACAAACATTTAGCTTTGGGTCAGAGCATGGATTGAGGCAAGGGTGTGCAGTGAGAGGGAATGTCTAGGATGTTTTTCTTCTGTCTTTTCTTCTCACTTCTTCACCATTCCCTACTCTGTTTTTATCTGCTTATCTTTCTGGACACACCCAAGATAAAGGGAATTGCAGTCATCTCTCCTCCCTGTTAGGCATAGGACACTGCAGCACTTACTTTGCAGCTTTGGGGGGAAAAATACTTTGCAGCTTTGGGAAATTCCTTTTTCACTTGGTCTCTAAAGATGTTGGACAGAGGCTGGACAGGTATGTGGCGGGGATGATGCGAGGAGGGGTCAAAGTGCAGCGTGGGGCCTTAGGTCTCTACGAAGGTCCCTTCCAAGTCAGCTTTTGTGACTATAATGGGGAGACTTAAAGTAACCAGTGGTTTCCTGAAAGCTGCTTCAGTCAACGAGGCTCAGTGGTAAGAGGTAGATTCCTAGGCCCCTGTCCTGGCTATGCTACTTCAGGTGATCAGGAATCCACATTTGAAATAAGCAATTAATAATTAATAAGGCAGTTCTTACAGATTGGATGACTTTATAGATAAGTCCTTTCTAGTGATAACGCTGTACGATTAGAAAATCAAAAATCTCATTCTTAGTTCATTTCAAGGGAAGTGGGGTTTTTTGTACTCACATTCCCAGCTTCTGTCGTGGAAGGGAAAGGCATCTTCCAGTTTGTCTTTGTCCTAGTGAGGGCAAATAATAATAATAGTAGTAATAACAATAACAATAACAATAACAATAATAATAATAATAATGGGCACTGGCATTTTCCACAATTTCTTTCTTGCTCTTAATTATTTTAAAACATGTTTCCCCACAATTAGTCTGTGGAAGAGTTTTCCCACTAGTGAGTGCTTTTTTACTTGTCTGGTGACACCTTGTAGAACTTAGCCTGCCTCATTTTGGAAGCTAACAGGCAGATGGGGAAGTGAGCTCTCAATAGGCCTTTTCCATAAGTCCTTCCAAAGCACGTTCCTGCCCTGCACTTTTTCAGCATCATCTAAAGAAGTTGGAGGGTCGACGCCTGGACTTCGATTATAAGAAGAAACGACAAGGCAAGATTCCAGATGAAGAGATCCGTCAAGCTCTGGAGAAATTTGACGAGTCTAAAGAAATTGCTGAGTCAAGCATGTTCAATCTGCTGGAGATGGACGTGAGTGGCTCTCCTCCCATCCAGGCACAAGATTAATGTGCTAAAGGGTCCCATCTTTGAAAATATTAATGTCTGATCATACAATATGGTTAGAACTTTAGTAGATGGTCATTCCTTTTAAATAATTTGAAATTATTAGATTAGAAATGATAAGGGTTTTTTTTCCTCCTGTATAACTGTAGTTTGATTTAACTACATTTTTGTCTACTAATGATCTTACCAACAGTGGAGAGATAATATTTCTGATAGCCCATGTATCAGTCTAGTAGCTTATAAAAAAAAAAAAGTGGTTTGTTGAAATGCAGGGCGGATTGACTTCAGATTGTATAAGGATATCAACTAAAATGCATTCAGAAGAGCATTAAGATGTTTTGTGTTTTGAAGTAATGTTAACATTTTCTTTCAAAAGGTGATTTCCATTGAGATTGATGATGGTATTATAGCATAGATACTGCATTCGGGGCATAGATGAATGGTTTGAAAGCTGCTTTCACATTATCAGTACTAAATTATTCTTCACTGCTTTAGAAGTGACATTCCGCCGAAACCGGTTTGGCTCAGTGGTAGAGCATCAGTCTGCGGACTGAAGGGTTCCAGGTTCGATTCCGGCCAAGGGCATGTACATTGGTTGCGGGCACATCCCCGGTAGGGGGTGTGCAAGAGGCAGCTGGTCAATGTTTCTCTCTCATCGACGTTTCAAGCTCTCTATCTCTCTCCCTTCCTCTCTGTAAAAAATCAATAAAATATATTAAAGAAGTGACATTCCACCCACTCATGTAGGAAGCCTGTTACCTCACTTTCCTGTCCTTGCTCCCCGCAACCTCTGGCCCGGTCATTTGCTGACTAACTTCTGCCAAGATGTTTGCCGAGTCTGTATGTACTTACCACTTAACTGCTTGGCCCTGACTGGTGACAGGGAGACATGTTGACCATAGCCAGACTTTCCCATCACCCCGAGACAGTGTAGGTTTCTGTTTACATGAAACGGCTTGTGTCCACCTACTTACTGAAGAGGGGTGCTTCATGGGATGAGTGGTGACCTGAATCCGTGCTCCTGACCTACACCCAGGGCTGTACCTCACCCCAAAACTCCTGGGGCAGCATTGCCTCTGTTCATTTGGAGGCCAGTGTTCAGCTAGATCACAGCACAAGAGATAAAGGGAAGAGCCACCAAGAATGCTTAGAATAGTAGAGCTGGAAGGAAGCCAGATGTCACCTGGCCCCTTTACATTACAGATGAGGCTCAGAGAAGACAAAAGATTCTCCATTGTATCATACTGCCTCCCATGGTGCCTCACGTGAGAAATCAGTATCATGCTTCTAATAACATCACTAATATTGACTAAGCATGAAAAGTATAGAAGCAATGAGTCCTTTGGTCAATACTTTTTTTTGTCTTATAGGATATCAATAAAATAAGCCAAACCCTACACAGAAGGTCCAAGCTAAGCATGAGACTGTTTGATGAGAGTTAAGTGATCTTCAGGAGAATTCTGAATAATGTTGCTTCTCCTTGTAGCACTAGAGTTCCCATTCATAAGGATGTTCTCTTACCCTTAATCGATTCAGAGCCTGTAAAACTATGTGTCTTCGCCTGGCTCCCCACGGGGTCCTGGGCATCACCAGGCACTGGACTGTGTGTCAGGGGAGCTCTGTCCTATGTACAGGACAGTAGTAGCTGCTTCCAGTCAGTAACCCGGGAACTAAGGTGTGATTCCCCCTTGATCTGCAGATCGAACAGGTGAGCCAGCTCTCTGCGCTTGTGCAAGCCCAGCTGGAGTACCACAAGCAGGCGGTCCAGATCCTGCAGCAGGTCACTGTCAGACTGGAAGAAAGGTACTCGACAGCTCCCTGCATCTTACATCTCCACTTTCTTGCTATACAATGATGTGGAAAGAAATGGAACTAAGAGAGAGAATACATTTGAAGAAAACCTTCTGCCAAAGTTACTGCTGACCTTACATGGGCACCCTTTGGATTGTTGTTCTGATTTTATTTTCTCATATGCTTTGTTTTACTTTGTGGCATTGAATCTAATCTCATGTGAATGAGGTCAGTACCTGGATTATATTTTGGCTGCCACCGATGGGATGCCTGGAGGTTCTGATGATAATGGATGTATCCTTATTGATCAGCTATTCCGTGTGGGTACTAAAGGCATAGATAGCATCATCAGTTGTATAGCAGCCCTGTAGGCCAAGGCTTGTCCGCCTCTTCTAACAGATGAGCCAGCTGAGGCTCGGAGAGCAGCCATCCCTAGCCCTGGGTTACACCTGCTCCAAAAGGGGTCCATAATCCAGCATAAGCTGCTTGAGAGCTTGTATCTTTCACACCTCCTGTTCCTCTGGATGGTGGCCTAGTCCATCCAAAAGGGCTGCTTTCATGGGCCTGTTCCCCATCTTCTGATGTCCCCACCACAGGGCTGTGGTAGTTTTCCTTGTGAATGGGGCTCCCTAGAGTTGGGGACAGCCTGCTCAGCTGCCTGCAGTGGCCCTGCACTATGCTATGTGTTACTTTATTTAGCCAGATTAAACAGGATGATTCTGCAATATATATGTGCATCGAAGTGTTGCCTCAGCAGCCTTGATTCTCAGCTCATGGCCAGATGAGACACTCACCGCTGATGAGTCGGCTCAGTGCACAATGACGTCTCCAATCTCTGTGCTACACCATGGAAACAACCTCACCTGCTCCCACTGGGTCCATCTGGCCGCCTCTCCCTGCTTCGTGTCTTCCCTGACTAGTGCTTACAGTGTGCGTCTTCCCTCAGCCCACGCTGGTGGAAATGTGTGGAACCCCCCGAAGCCTCTAGAACAGTTAAAACCAGGCACTCGAACACACTAAAGAAATACGTGTCTTAGTGACATCTGTTGAGAGTCAGGTTCCTTCCTTTCTTTTCTCTGACATATGTACCAAGACACTCTTATTCTGCTGCCACCATACCCTGAGCTCTCCCCACCTTTGCAAATCTGTTCTACACTTTCTTTAGGGAATAAGTTTCATTCCCACTTCCTATTTTGCAAACTGCTCACCGCTCTCAGAGCATACAGTTCCTCCTTTCCATCCTTTATCTGTAAACGGCAAGTACTCATCTTCTACCTTCGTCCATAGACCTTCTCCAACTTCCCTATGGACAGGTGGACTCCCCACGCCACCCCATGTTCCTGCAGCATTTTGCACCCATCTCTACAGCACTTACTGCCACTTAGAGAAGCCAGCTGTTTATGTTCTATCTCCCCTATAGATGCTTGTGGGCAAACACTGTGGCCCTGGCACCTAGCACAGTGCAGAGTGAGCTCAATGACTAAGGGGGTGGAGAAAAGGGGGTGGGATTGAGAGAGAGGATAGAGACAGGGAGGGTGTGACCATGGAGGGGCATCACCAGAAGCAGAGACACATACACATGAGAAATCGGAGGGCCTCTCTCGATTGCTCTTATGCCAGAGCAGATTGGTGTGTGACCTAAGTGTATCCTGGATTTTACTGCCTTTTTTTTTTTTTTTTTTTGCTTCTTAATTGGCTGCACACTCTCTATTCTCCCCTTTTTCTTTTCAACACAGAATAAGACAAGCTTCGTCTCAGCCTAGAAGGGAATATCAGCCTAAACCGCGGATGAGCCTGGAGTTTCCCGTTGGAGACAATACTCAGCCCAATGGAGGCATCTCCCACGCGGGCACTCCCAAGCCTTCAGGTAAGGGGCTGAGACCCACAGCGCCCACTACATGGGCCTTCGGCACATCCCACTGACACTTTTCCAAAAATTCTAGAGGCAGTCTAATCTGGCTGCATTAAGATATATGTAATAATACATTTTTTAGGGACAGTTTTGTCAAGTAGAAGCTCTTAAAAGCACTACTCCTTCTTTTCTCATTGAACATGGCTTTTCCTCTATTTCCCTCTTCTCTCCTCTATAAAATTATTTTATTCGCTTATCTATCATCTTAAGCTCTTAACCTCCAAATTATTTTGGCCTAATTTGATTTTGACCCTCCTTCGTGGTCATAAGGTCATCTTAACATGCCAGTTTGGTGCTGGGTGGCATCTTTTTTTCTGTTTTCCCCCCTCTGTGGCTCTAGCATGCACAAGACCGAATGTCCGTGTACAGAGCATGTCCCATTCGCTCACACAGGCAGCAGCTCCAAGAATGTGTTCCATTGGATTTCTTGAGGCACAGGAGCATATGGTGAACCTAGTGCTAGAGAGATTTTCAGCCTTAACATTCGTTGGATTGAAGAAGTGAAAACTATCTCATACTGGATATGAATTTTAAAGTCATGCAGCTTCTTTTTATTTTCCCTGTATCCCCAGCACTTTATGTTTTGTGGTAGTCCAGCTCTTATGAGATGCTTTCAGGATACCAGGAAGAGAAAGGGAGGTCTGTGGTGACAGTGGGAGCTCTGTGCCTCTGTGTCCACATCTGCTGCTCAGAGCTCCATAAGGGTATAAGCAGCAGTGGCTCTTAGAAGTTAGCCGGCCCCAGGGGCTAGTCATATATGTTACATGTAACTTGCTTTTTCCTGCTCAGAAACCAACTGCATATTTTACTCTTCTTTCAGAGACTTGATAATTTTGTGTGTTTTTTTGTTGTTGGTTTTTTTTTTAATCCTCACGTGAGGATATATTCTTACTGATTTCAGAGAGAGAGGAAAGGAGGAGGGAAAGAAACATTGATATGAGAGAAATACAGATCAGTTGCCTTCCATATACACCCTGACCAGGGATCACACCTGCAACCTGGGTACGTGCCCTGATAGGAAATTGAACGCATGACCTTTTGGTGTGTGGGACAACTGTCCAACCAGCTGAGCTGCATTCCACATTGCAACACATGCCAGTGCAACACTGGCCAGGTCAGGACTCCATTCTTTTTATTCTTTTAATCCAGGTCTAATGCATCATTTTAATACTAGAGGCTTGATGCACAAAATTCATGCAGGAGTAAGCCTTCCTTCCCCCAGCTGCCAGCACTGCCTTCCCTCTGACACCCGGGAACCAGGCTTCCCTCGCTGCCCCAGCTTCATCCAGAAGGTCATCTGGAAGGACGTCTTAAAGGACATTCGGTCTAATTAGCATATTATGCTTTTATTATTATAGATGTCATAACTCTGATGCATTCCTCACATTGATATGCACAATAGATTACAAAATGTAAATTATATAATTTTTATATCATCTGCTCTTAATAGATATAATAGTACTTTGAAGTTGTTACACAAAAACAGAGAGAAGTGCCTTGTGCAAGGTCACACAGAGTTAGAGCTTGAACCCAGTGTTTTATATTGAGGTTAGAGACCTTACTTTTAATGAGTGAGAATTATACTGTAATTCTGAAGTCGCAAAGCATCATCCATGTAATTAATTACTGTACTGTTTCACACGTGCAGAGGTTTCACAGTGCTAACATGGACAGAATTCTGGCCATGCTAGCTTATGAACCTAAATCTTATTAAAAATGCCTTGAGCTGCTGGGTCTCCCATCACTGGGCATTGTCGGGAAGGCAAGCCTTGATAAATTCTGCTGTACACATCGCAAGAATGGGTGTGGCCGTTTTTCATCACTGGACACAAAACAGGAATCCAGAACCTTCCAGACATCTGAGAAAGCCCCAAAGACTGTAGAGGGAGCTGCCAGGCAGCCGCCCTGGGGCTGGTAGCAAGAGGAGGCTTCCGCAGCAAGAGGAGTGAGGGAGGACCCGAGGGGTCAGCAGGCGGCTCCGCGGACGGTGCATGTGTGAGTTAAATCTCCCTTGTCTCTCTGTGTTCTTCTCTCCTGCTCTGACTCCCAGGTGTCCCCATGGATCAGCCCTGCTGCCGAGCTCTGTACGACTTTGAACCTGAAAATGAAGGGGAATTGGGTTTTAAAGAGGGTGACATCATCACACTCACTAACCAAATTGATGAGAACTGGTATGAGGGGATGCTTCATGGCCAGTCAGGCTTCTTCCCCATCAACTATGTGGAAATTCTGGTTGCCCTGCCCCATTAGTATGTCATGCTGGCTGGCCCATCTCCTCTTGACCCGGGTAGTTCAGTTTAACCACTGCTTTGGTAATGCTGCTTCCAACACATCCCAATGCAGGCCGCAGTGGTCCCGGTCACCTTTGGTTGACCTGTGTGACCCCACAGGAGTCACGGTGATGGATGGTATCTTCTCCGCCTGGTGGGCATGGCATGTGCTTTTCAAATACCATCTGAGACCAGCCAGACAGTTCTCAGGAGACTGCGGCTTCTTAGACTAATGACTATGAGCCACAGCACAGAGACACCATCCTACAGAAGGTATTATCTATCGCCCAGGGCCTTCTCCGGCTCTCAGGTTCTCCAGCTAAGCAGGAGAAAGGGTTTGCTCTCATACCGTCCCCTCCCAAACGTGTGAGTCACAGAGTTTGTGGAAGAAAGCCTCCCTCACCAGCAAACTGCCTTCTGGGCTGAGTGAGTCCTTGGATGCCACCAGGAAAGTGCTGAGTGTGGATTCAAAGCCTTCTCTGGAAACGCTCACCTCTGTTCCTCCCACTTATGCCTGTTTCCGAGGCACAGCCTGTTCCCCTTCCTCCCACTATCCAAGCCAGAGGGGGCTCCTGTTTTATCTCTAAGATAGTTAGCAATCCACAAATTGTGGGAGGGGCTGACAAGAGGATACTCTATTATAAGAAATGGGAAGAGATCCGTTTTCCAAGTTTAAATGTCCTGCTGTAAAGAAACTCTGTGTGTGTGTGTGTGTGTGTGTGTGTGTGTGTGTGTGTGTGTAGGGCATTTCTGAAGGTACAGGGAAAGGGGAACAAATACTGTCATTTCCGCTTTATTTACAAATTGTGTGTTTCATGAATTCATTGGGCACAGAGACACAAGAAGAAAACCACTAGAAACCATTTTCCCACTAGTTCCTAGACCAAGAAACAGTACATACCTTTTCTTCCACATTCACCTGTGTTCTTTGAACATCATTTGTGCATATTCTGCCCTCAGTGAGGACCAAGTAAAGATGATGTTTGTGCTTAGTAGTTTAAGAAGTGTGGCTGCATATGCAAAACTGTTTCCCATTCAGTCATCACTTTTATCTGTCCCCTCTATCTGCTCTTCATTTCGTGTGTACAGTGCTGTGTGTCAGTTTCTGAGTGGTGGTGTTATCTTTGGTATCAGTCATTCGAGTCCCATTACGTTCTATGGAGAGTTCTATTTATCTAGCTGTACAGATTCTCTCAGAGGTTTAATGTGCTGCTTCGGACGTGCCGTCTGCGGTAGTGGATCATGTGGAGTGAAAGGCAAATCTTACTGCTTACTGTATAAACTCTTACCACGGGAAGCATCGCTGTTTCCAATAAATATTGCTGAAGACAAACCCACAGGCTCCGGCCCTTTATTGTGTGTCATGTCTTTGGGTCCAATGCTGTGCAGACTGAGGCTCATTTCCCTCTCCGTTGTTTTCAACTACAAGCAAACCAGACCTGGTTCCAAGCTTAGCGCTCCTTCTTGGTAAGCAGGGAAAGTTCCATCACTGGAAGTGAGCTGGCCTGAACACTTGTAACTTCTCTGTAATCCAGGAAAGAGGGGAGATTTTTGCAGTGATGATGTGAAAGTGGGAAGAGGAAGTCTTTTATAAATTAAATGAGTTTTCATGAGTGGTGTTATCAGAAGAATATCATGTTCAAAGGGCAAATAAATTTATCATTTCAACTGGTCTTTGGTTTCGTTCATGCTTAAAGAAAAAGGGATACACAAGGAAATGCAAATTGGTCAAAAGGCAGCATTCTTTTCTCAGTGCATATATAGGGGATGGTGGGGTGGAAGAGGATGTGGGTGAGTGGGGATAGGGAAACTTTATGCATAGAATACATGTTTCCAAAGTTCCTGAGAAAATAAAGATGTTCTTTAAGTATTGGGTGCCCTTTGTATTCTTCCATGCTGAGGCCAACAGTCCAGGTGTTTAGTTTTTTGCTTGTTTATTTTTTTTTTATTGTTTTCAGAGAGGAAGGGAGAGGGAGAAAGAGAGAGAAACATTAATGATGAGTCATTGATTGACTGCCTCCTGCATGCCCCCAACTGGGATCAAGCCCACAACTCAGGCATGTGCCCTGACTGGGAATTGAACCTGGTTCCTAGGTTGATGTTCAACCACTGAGCCACACTGGCTGGGCTAGTTTTAACCTAATGTACTAAATTCTAAATGTGAACTACTCTAACATGAAAATAATTTTTTCTAGATACATGAGTTAGAGTACCCCTGATCAGTTCTAAAACCAGTTTTAAAAAGAAATTGGCAATGGCATTATTATGAATGGAGAAAACCCAGTAGAATCACAGATAAATTATGAGAATCAATAAGTGAAATTAGTGGGATTATTGGATTTAAGATCAATGCCCAAAAATATTTCTATATACCATAGCAATCAATTAGAAAAGGAGGAATTTAAAAATATATCATTTACAAAGACAACAAAAATCAAACTCATAGATATAAATCTCATAATTGTATATGATTTCTACATAGAAAATTATGAAACATTTTGAGAAAAATGAATACTTTAATAAGGGAAGACATATTCTGTGTTTATGGACTGGAAAACTCAGCATTTTAAAGATGTATTTCTTCACAAATTGATATAGATTTAGTACAATCTCAACTAAAGTCTTAAGGAGTTTCTTGATGTGTGTATAAATTGACAAGTATATTATAAATATATATGAAATGCAAAGGAATCTTTCTTCTTGAAGAATAACAGAGTTGGAGGACTTGCTATTTCTAGACATAAAACAAAGTTATAGTAATTAAGGTAGTGTGGTGTGTTGCAGTAGTAGGAAAAAACACCTGTAGGAAGTCATGCCCCAAAAGAGACATAGAAGTACCCAGCCATATTTGAACTAATTAAGTGCTCCGTTGGCTTCACTGTTACACCTTCAAATGTGACTGTACCTGTGCAATCGCAGTTCTATGACTCCAAAGGGAAACTAATAGCAAGAGCCTGCATGAAATAGGGAATCTCATTATGAGTCAACATCAAATTAAATAAAAGGGCCATAACCAGTTTCCAGAGGGAACTTAATACTTATTTACTTTAGGGAGTCTAGGAGACAATAATATATGTACCAGGTTCAGAACTGTCTGGATTCTTTATTTTTATGGAAATGCAATGATTTTTTTTTATAGAACTTTATAGGAAAGAGCGGGGAACTGTGGACCACCACTGGAAAAATTGAACCTATCCCAAAACACTTGTCCTTCTAAGACTGATCACGGAATGAACTGTCTGCAGTGGAAACAGAAACAGAACTACACTAAACCGAACTAAAATGAAAAACAAGTTCAGTGGAACAGTTGTCTCATTTTAACTTTCTAATCGGTCTGACAGATCTTAAAGCGTATGCTTTCTGGGGAAAATAATCATTTCCCCTTAGTCTCTCTTTGCTATTAAGACAATAAGAATGACATGACCAAGGATTTGAAATTGCCCGAAGACTCTGTATACATATAACCTCTCCATACATATAACCTACATCCAGAGACTTAGCGATGGCTTAGGGAATCCAGTTTATTCCAAGGCCCTTGTGGGTGTGTTTAAGGCTCATTACCAGACAAGGAACTGCCTGTCTTCCCTGGGGGCTGGTGACATGGGAGCAGTTAATGCTGAAGAAAGAGGCAGCCCGAAGCCTCCGTTTGGAATTCTGAGTGATGGTGAAGACTTCTCGGGCTGAATGGAGGGGTAGCCACACCAGCAATTTCTAGGCCCATCAATTGGGGACATATTAAAGGAGCTGTCAAGGGGAGGGAAAAACACAAAGCTACTTTTTAAGGGGTCCAGTGAATGCCACTGAATGCCACTCAGCTATCACATGTCTGAGGGACGGCAGGAAGAGCTGCAGTTCTTGAAGGAGTGAAGCAATTTGCCAGCTCTGGAGGCAAACAATGGAGCGTGGCATCGCAATACCATTTTCTCCAAAAGAACCCTGGGCCTTTTGCAAAGACCAGCAGGTACTAATATGCAGAATTTCAACCCTGCTGAAGCCTTAAGGTCCATCAGCCTTCTGATGAGGCTCAGAGAAGGACTCGTGCCTAATTATGACCTGCTGGTCTTAACCTCCAGCTCTTATGTGCCGCTCTGTGTGCTGATGTTCACCCACATGGACCGAGGCTGACTTTTGGAAGTTCCTTTCGACATGAAATAACAAATGTGTCCACAATACGGGGTGGAGAATAAAGTTTGAATATCGGGGAAACTCATGGATATTTGGACCTCTCTCAGTAGTCTGGTTTCTTTATTTTGTTCCCCATGGCAAGTGTGGTTTCAGAAACTAAAGATTCACATATACTCATTCATGTCATCTGAAAAAATGATTCCAGCATTCACACTAAATAGGAGTTTTCTTTATATTCTATGCAGGCAAAATGTAGATTTCTTCACCTGGCTGCGTCTGTCCTGATTTTTGGCTTTCAGTGGCCTTTAAGCAATAAAAATGGATGTGTATTGTAGCTGCGTTCGAGTTTCCTATATTATTTTTTTTCACATCCGAGAGTCAATCCCATCCAGCAGTTTTATAAGATGATGCTTATAATTGAAGGGAGAAGAAATGAGAGTCGGTGTTATTTCTCACCCTGCATCAAGCACTTGGTTAAGCTCAATATATATGATTTTGATTGAAGACTAAGGTGTTAAACCTTAGACACTCAGCTCTTTGGGGTTGATGAAATGGCAGAAAAGAGAGCTTTGGAAATAGGTTGATTGCCCAGTGTAGCATCTCATACTGATTTAGAGCTTAAGAAAGGAAAAGGGAATTTACCAACATTATGAACTATCTTAGTAGCAAGACAAAGAATGGAGAAATACAGAGACTGTAAGGTCTTATGCAAGGCTGCCTTTGTAGAGTTTTAGATGTAGGAAATGAGGCAGAAGGGAAGGGAAGTTTTAAAAGCAACATTTTTCACACTTTATTTCCCTCCTAGTGTTTTGGTTTCCTTCAAATCTTTCCATGTGTGACTGGTAAAAGAAATGTCACATTTCTTTATTTTTTTTAAAACCAAATAAGTATAGCTGCTGTCCTTGCTCCCATTGCAACTTGCAGGTAGTTCTCGCTCGGTTCTGTCTGTGGGGAAGGGTCTGGTTCTGTGCTGTCTCTGCTGCCAGGTCTGGCCTGAGAGCCTGTGGTCAACCAGAAAGTGCTACTCCAGCCCTCTATGCCCGGGCTGGATGCTGGCTCTCTGCAGAGGACCTCAGGCCATAGCTCCAGCACCCAGCATCCTTAGGCACAGCCATCCCCACTGAAAATTTACCCTTTCATCATTTAAGTCACTGCAGGAGAAAAAGACACGTTCTCTAGTGCTCTGTCACCCATCCCAATTACAGTGATTGGGGTTTGGGAAAAGGCCAGAGAATCTGTATTTTTTTTTTAAAGATCTTACTTCCATCTTTTATCAAAACACTGTCTCCATGAGGACTCATGAAGAAACCAGGGTGGTGTCTGGAGTCTCCTAAGCTTACCCGATGGGAAGGGTTTCCCGTTGGCACTTGCGCAAGTTGGATTTCCAGGTTCTCATTCCAGCTTCTCAGAATCAGAATTGCCCATTGAGAAGCCAAAAAAGGGGGTATTTCCCATTAGAAAGGTTTGTGAAACAATTGACTAAGTGCTTCTAGAATTCTAGCATATGTCAGGGTCACCCAGAGCCTGTTAGAACAGGTGCCTGGGCCCCACTCCCAGAGATCCTGACTCGGCAGGGCTGGAGCAGGGTCTGAGAGTTTGCATTTCTAAAAAGTTCCAGGGTGATGTATGTCCTGATCCCTGGTTACAGGTGCAGGAGTACTGTTCCATCAGATAGATGTCTAAGGAAGAGCCAGCTGCTTCCTGGGACTTGGGTCCCAGGTGCTTTGGTGTTGAGAATGATGACAAAACATACATGCATTAAACTGTTTATTAATCCAACCAAATTATTCTTTGTGCTCAGAGACTTAATAGGAATCTACACTTGGTCTTTGGTGGGGGTTTTTTTTGAATAGCGGAGAAGTCCCAGTTCAGTGTGATGGAGGCTGCTTAAACATGCTCTGGAAGGTGTGTGTGTCAGTGTTTTTAGGGAGCTGCCCAAGGGATTCTCAGATGCAGGCAAGTTTGGGAAGCTCTAGTCTACATACAGATGTTTCAGATAGGCAGCCAGATGTTGGATGACTTTTTCTTATTATCCATTTTCTCTTTGATTAAAAAAAAAAGACATTCATGTTTATTAATTAAGTAACATTGGATGCATGCACATCCATCCTCAAACCCACAGCACCCAAGTGTTTCCCCATGTATGTTGATGACAGGATCTGATGGTGATGCTGGGTCTGCATCTGCACTGACTCAGAAAGCCCACCT